CTGAAAAATGAAAACCAAAACAGATGTCTCCAATGGCACTGAGCCTTATTAGCCCTTCACAGCTACCCTGACACCTCAAGGCGTAGCAAAGGGAAAGCCCTGCTCATCTGAAAGTAGGTTTGAGTCCGGCTAATGACTCTGGAATGCTCACCTTGTTGGATTTCTCTCTCCTCCTCTCAATCCCCCTCCTCTCCGCAATACTTGTTTCATTCCTGACCGTCTGTCTCCAGTATAATCTTAAGAGAAAAGCTGTTGAAAATGTCATTGAAAAATGCACCCAAATATGCACAGGGGGAAAAAGGGGAGAAGCCTTCCTACTTAGTGAGACCAGATGCTGATGAATGTTGGTTGACAAAACACAACCTATTAATACTTTGAAGTATCCCCCCCCCCCAACACTTGAGATGATGGGTAGCTCTTCCAGGGGAGGAAAAGTGAGAGGTGAACACCCTACAGTGGTCTTCAATGTATTTTCACTTTGTAGCCAGTTAAGAGGCCTGTCATTCAGCTGGTTCAGATGTAATGCCAAACCAGTCTGGTACTACAACATTCTGCTTTAAAGAACACATTAGTTCACTGGTTTCCTATCCACCCGCTCAGTGATTCAACAAGTTCATTCAGTAGTTCCCAGCTCTTGGTTCTTCAGATGTTTTGGACTTCAGTTCTCATAATTCCTGTCTGTTGGCCAAGTTGGCTGGAGTTTCTGGAATCTGAAGTCCGAAACAAATGGAGGACTAAAGGTTGGGAACTGTTCTGAACTGACAATTGGATTTAAGTTAATATGCCCTGATTTCAGACACTTTTTATGTACAGTTGTGGGTCTTTATAGTATATCTTCCATATCCATTTTGTGACAGTGGTACAGAATGCCTATATTCTGGGTGTGGATTCTGCAACAAAATGTTGGCATTTGCCAATTTTATGCAGACTGTTGTCCTCTTGTTCCCTCCCCCCCCCTTTTTTTTTGGAGATACATTACCTCTTATCCATAGCAGTTGGTAGGTTCCATGTCTGCAGAAGCCCTGAGAGACTATTGAAAGATTTCTCCTTCCACCACGAAAACAAAAAAAGAGTAACATATAGACTGTTCTGGCTTTGGATCTTTCCAATTGTTTCACCCACAAATGGATTGGATCATTTCAAGAAACTATAGGTGCATAGCTCTGAGAAATGCAAACTTTTTCACCGAGATTCTAGAAGTCATAGAACCACAGAGTTGGAGATGATGTTTTAGGAACCATAGAATGATGAGAGTTGGAGATGGCCTTCTAGGTCTTCAAGTCAGTTCCTTTTCTTGCTATAGGACTCTGGGGAACTAAGAAGTCCCATCCTAGTGCATGACAGTTTAAGAGCAACTCATTCACCATAGACCATCCTGTGTGTATTCATCACCCCCACATTTAATCCCTCAAACAACAGCACAGCAGACTATAGAAAACAAATCAGGGAGTATTACACACTGCAGAATTACATAATTTCCAGCGTTGCAATAAACTGTCATACCCAGAGGCAACATCATCTGTGACGAGGGCTCACTTTGCCATCCAACCATTCCCCCTCCTGGATGAAGAATGCTATCACTTGGCACACTGCGCCACCAGATCAATTGCACACCATGTGCTTTTGGAATATTAAGCAAGGGCTTTGACGCTGTTCAGATCTCAGTGGGGACCCTTCTAGTTGCTGCAGGGGAAACACATTTGGCATTTATTGTATTCTCTCTGCCACATCAGCTGCATAATTTGACTTTCAAAGGGGAGTAACTTGGGAGGAAAGCATCATTCAGAAGCAAAGAAAGGAAGAGAGAGAGGAAAGGAAATGGCTTTAGGGGTGTTATACCAGTTCACTTCAGGCTATGGTCCAAGAAATCCTAGTATTGCTCAGGTGTTTTCCAGACATTTGTTGATGAAAAGATCTCTAATGGCAGAGAAGCTTCCTAAGCGCCTGCCACACTTCAGAATTAATGCACTTCAATACCACTTTAACTGTTGTGACTCCATCCTATGGAATCCTGAGATTTGTAGTTCATTATGGCACCAAAGCTCTGGAGCAGAGAAGGCTTAATAGCTCACAAAACTATAAATCCCAGGATACCATAGCATTAAGCCAAGGCAGTTAAAGTGGTGTCAAACTGCATTAATTCTGCAGTACAGATGCAGCCCTAGAAATACAATTTCCAACCTCTTCCAATTTTCTGTTGCAATGCACAGCCAGGGAGGGTTGGATAAGTTCTACAGGGCATGCCCAATTCACAGCGGTCTACATTGACGTCTGATCCAATTGGACATTGAAGAAGGAGCATAACACAATAGTAGGACCCATGTTGTGCACGCAAAATGTCTCTGGTCCTGTCTCTTAAATCCTCTGCTAAAGCCACCTTGGATAGCAAGGTTAGGAAAGAACAGACACTGGTAAGATGGATGTGTTCCCTACTTTAGAGAGGAGTGCTCTCTATATGGAGGTTTGTCGATTTTTCCTGGTATTCTACATTGGCTATTTAGTTACATATGTACACCCAACCAGCCTTGAAATTGATTCAGCGAGTCACTATTTCCCAGCCTGAGCTACCTCAGAAGGTTGTTGTTGGGATCCCATAGCTATGTGGAAAGCCATGTAAGGAACCTTGAATCCACTGGTGGGGGGAAAGAGTTAAAACAAACAAACAAAACTCTCTTGTTGCTTCAATTAACCCTCCAGCATCATATAATGAGAGGCAGACTATACCTAAGCATGAAGCTGCAACTGGCAAATGGCATGAGCAATGAACGTTTCCCATTCCTTTTGTTTCTACCTTTCTCTTCAAGTTCAGATAGGGATGGGAAGTTTCTCATCCGCAACCTGATGATAAGAGTAGGAGCAGGTCAGCCACGATGATTTAAAATAGGGGTGAGCAAAGTGTGGCCCATGGGCTGCATTTGGTCCTTGGGACCTATAAGTGTAGCTCCAAAGTCCCCACCAATCCCACCAAATATTTTTTCAAGCTGCACCCCAAAACCAAAGGCCCCCAGACTACCTACAAATGTGGCGCTTTGTTTCCTCCAGTTTCTCAGACTCCACCCTCAGTGGGTGAAAAATTCTCAAAATGGTGGCCAGAAGTGACCTTGCCACTTCTGCCATGCCCAAAATGTGGCAATGTGGCCCACCAGATAGGCACAAGGGGGAAACGCCTCTGATCCATGCCTGCAGTTGTCCACCCCTGATTTCCAGGGATGACCCCAAATGTCCACATCCACATTTCCAAAATCCTGGCTCTCTCAGAGCATGGCACTCACCCTTGTCCTTGCTTTCCAGAGAGCTGCCTTGTCCAGATATATCCTTATCTCAGCATTGAAGGGCCTGGGCTTAATTGGCCGTCCCCTTAAGCATGTGTTTAATTCCATCCTGCGGGGAATAGAGCCTCACGCCTTAAATAATTGAGTGGCCACAAGATTGGTTAGTTCTGTTTTCATGACCCATATTGATTTAAGCGTAGTTAATCCTTTCAAGAATCCATGTCACCTAACTGTCTGATGGCTCTCTTTAGGGCCGTAATGCTCTTCCTGCTAGATTATTTCACATCAAGCATTGTAATGTCACCATAAATCCATTGCCTGGGCCCCCCTGCCTCTCAAAGCAAACTACCAGATGGGGACCATCGCTCTTTCCATTAAAATCCTCATTTTACCAGGGAGAAAGATGAGCAGCAGAATATGTTTAGTTAATTCCCTTTTCCTCCCCATACCCCAACCTTTTGTTCACCCATCCATAAAAGAACTGGCTGACGGTGACACTTAAATAATCACACACCCAATTAAACCAACACATTAGAAATGAAAACAAAATGGAAGCAGCCAGGAGAGCTGTGTGTGTCTGTGTCTGTGTTCCCAGTTTCTGATCTAAATCAGGTGGGAAGCATTTGGGTCGAGCACAATTTTTTGTTGCTGTTGTGTGCCTTCAAGTCATTTCTGACTTATGGCCACTCTAAGTCCAACCTATCATAGGGTTTTCTTGGCAAGATTTGTTCAGAGGTGGTTTTTCATCACCTTCCCTTAAGGCTGAGAGAGTATGACTTGCCCAAGGTCACCCAATGGGTTCCATGGCCGAGCTGAGAATCAAACCCTGATCTCCAGAGTCGTAGTCCAGCATTCAAACCACTATGCCATGCTGGGTCTGGAGGTACAAATCAGTCCATCTCCCTCAAAGTCAGCAGAGGGGAGATTTCTTAACCCTCTAAAGGAGTCTGATAGTAGACTGAATTTACTGGTTTATTTAACAACACTGTGCAGGGTAGAATCTGGCTTGGAAACTCAGGGTTCCATCCTGAAAAAGGAATTAAACCAACTTTCTATAGGGGAAAAAATTGCAGTGCCAACAATTGAGCAACGAAAGGCTGTGACATATATATATACATTCCCCAGAGGGCCAGTATGGTGTGATAGTTTGAGCATTGGACTAGGATACTGACTTGGCTATGGAAACCCACTGGGTGGCCTTAAGCAAGTCATACTCTCTTAGGGGGGAAGCAGACGAGAGCTTCCCAGACGCCCTGGGCCGGCGCGCCGCGGGGCCGCAGCCTCCGCACCTCGGCGCACCGGCGGCGACCCTGGAAGGAGCGCTAAATCAGCGCTCCTTCCTCAAGACAGCGAAAGTGCGCACTAACAGCGTCGGGCGCACTTTCGCTGTCTTTTCCGCCGCGGCGCGTTCGGCTGCCGCGGCGTGAGGTCTTCCCCAGAGCGCCGGCCGTGCGGAGGGCCGGCGACTCCGAGGGCGACCTCAGGGAGAGGAAGGGGCGCCGAACGTGCGGCTGCCCCTCCTCTTCCAAGCCTCCAAGACGACTCTATTAGTCGTCTGCCGAGGCCCTTAGCCTCAGAGGATGGCGATGGCAAACCCCTGAACCTATGGCAACTCTAAGGCAGACCTTTTGTGGCATTTTCTAGGTAAGTTTCTTCAGAGTGGGTTTGCCATTGCCATCCTCTGAGGCTGAGAGTGTGACGTGCCCAAAGTTGACCAGTGGGTTTCCATGGCCAAGCTGGGATTCAAACCCTGGTTTCCAGAATCCTAGTCCAATGCTCAAACCATTACACCACGCCGACTCTCTTACAATCCCATATCTTTTGGGATTCACATTTATGGACGTTAACAACCAGAAGTGACCCCCAACAGCCTACCTTTTTAGCAGGGGAGTACCCCAACCAAAGGGTGAATCGGGTGTTTGGATGGGGGAGGAGATGGAGCCCAATAGCTAACGGGAACATGAGGACTCCAGTAGATGTCCACCTACCTAAACCCCACTCCAGATGATGCACCCCATGCAACCAAAATCTGAAAAGTGGAGACAATTTTGGCCCCCTGAAGTTTAGCATATTCAGGACCAAGCTTTTTAATGTTTTGAATGTTCGACCCACTTTTGGAATGTGCAGTCCTGACTACCAGCATAGCATGTTGCTCAATCAGACATAAATCGTTCTTGGAACAACACATTGTCTGACTGACAGTTAAAGGTAGACAAGCGTACAGTGCAGTGCACCTGTGCCTAGAGGTATAATTATGAGACTTGCCTATGCAAGCTTTACTCCCCCATTCTTTGGTTCAGAAACCCAAACTGGGGGCCAAAACTTGGAAGATGCCACATTTTCCGAGCTTCTCTGGCCTTGCAAAAGTTCCTGTTGCTTGGAGTGATATGCCCTCCTTCTTTTCCTTGGCACAGACATGAGAGGAAGGACAGGGAAATATGCAGGCATCCCTGTAAGATGGTTAATTATTTTCATGACACAACGCACCAGGAGAGTTCACAAGGATTAGAAATGCAGGTGTTACTGTCTGAATCTCAACCAAGTTGCCCTGAATCCTCCCCCCTTAGCTATAAATGACTCATTACCAGACGAAGAAGGGAAATCTTGGTTATATATATATTTTTAAAGTACTATACATTTAGAGGTCTCAGAGCCTGAATAATCTTCTGTCCTCTGGCAAGAGGGAGGAAGCTCAGGGTGAGAGAACTGTCTTGAAAAGTGTATACATGTATGCAACGCATGTCAATGACTGGGTGCCATTTCTCAATCCACAATACATGATGCAAAGTATAGGATTTCATTGTTGTTGTGGGGCTTCAAGCCATTTCCAACTTATGGAGACCCTATTATAGGTTGTCTCTGCAAGATTTGTTCAGAGAAGGTTTGCCATTGCCTTCCCCTGAGGTTGAGAGCAGGTGACTTGCCCACTGTACCAAGAAATAGGTGTTTGGGGCACTAGGGTTGTCACTCAAGTGGAAAGGGGATGGTAGCCCCAAAAAACTGGGGTCCACTGCTTTAAAACATTGGATAAGGCTGAAATCACAACTGTTTCCTTTTAAATCTGCTACTGAAGGCTATTTCACGAGAGTGATTCAGTGGGTAATCCCAGGCATATCTCTGCGGACTTTCCCTTTGCTTTGCTCCTACTATGCCAGAACCTAAAATATGCATGTAGTCAATGACCCGAAAAGCAAAGTATGAAGTTTTATCTTGGGGTTTACTCCTTATGGGCCAGAAGTCCATAACACCTAAGAATATTTTTGCTACTACACTCAGATGATTTCTGGGCCTCCTGGGTCATATGCAGTGGCTCTCTTGGCCCAAGTTATGTTTGTGCTAAACACTTCCCATCAGCCAAGAAGAAGAAACCATATGAAATTGCATTCCCTCTCCTTTAAACTCAGGGGGGTTGCAGACTGCCAGAAATAGTGCAAATTGAGTCCACTTTTAGGGTTAGGGTTAGTGCTAGGGAATCATGGGAATTGTTTTTTTTTTTTTTCTGAGACATTGAGCCTTCTCTGTCAGAGAGCTCTGGTGCCACAATAAAGTACAGTTCCCATGATTCCCTAACCCTAACCCTAACCCTAACCCTAAAAGTGGACTCAATTTGCACTATTTCTGGCAGTCTGCAACCCCCTGCAGTCAGGCTCTGAGTCCTTGATAATTCTTCTGACAAAGATGAGGCTTGCTGCATCTCAAGGCCTCAGGTGCTTGTCTCCCATCTTTGGGAGGAAAAATGCATTGCATCCTTGCGGTGCACTCAGGGACGTACACGTTCCCCTCTGCCATCTCTGCTGACACCTCAAGAGGCCTGCTGCAGTTTTCCCTGTAATTAGCTCCAGTGGTAAGAGAAGACAAGAGGAGCTCTTGTTAATGGGATTAAAGAGGTTCTTTGCTTGACACCCTTTGAGTGACAGGAGATGTGTCAACCCCATCATCATCCTCACCCATCAAAGCTCGGAGATCGGAACGACGACACACCACCGTCTGCGTTCCCAAGCAGGCCAGAGGCAGGTAGGGACTCGCCTCTTCCAGGACTCCCACAGCAGATGAGGGCAACGCTGGCGGATCATGTTCAGGGACGCCAATCTGATGAGAAAGGAAGGTTGAAGCATCCTGCAGGAGGAATTGTCTAACAAACACTGGCTTCATGCAAGGAGGTCTGGTTGGAGGGAGCATACAACAATCCCTTGCTGAAACAGCTCCACTGGATACTGGCAGTTTCCAGGCACAGTTCAAATGCTGGTTGTGATGTACAAAGCTCTATATGGCTTAGTTCCAGACTCTCTGAAAACCCACAACTCCCCATAGAAGCCTTCCAAATCCATGCTATTCACAGCATTGTTGTTGTCATTCTGTGCCTTCAAGCCGTTTCTGACTCACAGCGACCCCAAGGAGCATGCATCATGGGGTTTCCTTGGCAAGATTTGTTCGGAGGAGGTTTGCCCTTGCCTTCCCCTGAGGCTGAGAGCATGTGAGCATCCCAAGGTCCTCCAGTGGGTTTCATGGTTGAGCTGGGAATTGAACCCTGATCTCTAGAGTCGCAGTCCAACTCTCAAACTACTATGCCACACTGGTTTTCAAGGCTTATACAGTCCTTCAAATTAGCTGAACCTGAGCCATAGAGCACTTTATAGATCATACTAGGCCAGCTGTGTACAGCTGTTAAAGATGAGGAGCCTCCTAGAGAAGAGAGATGGCAACTTTAATTCAGCATCAGAAACACAATCTGATGACTCAGGAATTCAGAGATGTAGTAAGAGTCCTACGTCTGGTTTAATGAAGCACCACTGACTATGAATTCATTTATGGGCACAGTTCAAATTGCTGGATATAACCTATAAACCCTATATGGCTGAGGGGCAGACTATCTGAAAGCCAGTATCTCCCCATATGAGTCTCGCCAGGTTTTAAGATCCTTGTTTAAGGGAGGGATTTTTCTGTCCCACTGCCATCACAGGCCCTTGTGGTGAGGACACAAGACAGAGCCTTCTCTGTGTATGCTCCTAGTCTGTGGAAATCCCTTTCTAAAATCTAATCCGCACTGCAGAAATAATGCAGTTGGAGACTGCTTTAACTGCCATTGCTCAATGAGATGGAATTTGGGGATTCATAGTTTGTGGTGGCACCAGCATTCTCTGACAGAGAAGGCTAAATATCTCACGAAACTACAAATCCCAGAATTCCATAGCCTTGAACCGTGATGATTAACATTGTGTCAAAGTGCATTATTTGGATGCTGATCATTGACACAGTTCCAGTGGATGTTACCTTGGCTCCAACGTCTCCAGTGTTATTGGTTTTGCGCAGTTGTTACTTTCAATTTGTATACCCTATGGATGTGGACAGGATCATGGGAAAGAACTGTGCTAAATACTCCACACCACCCAAGTCCTAAGGTGTGGGGAAGTGTGTATGTATACATGTGGTATGTGTGTTTCTTATCATTCTGTATAGTCAAGATCCAAATGGACTAGAAAAAATCCAAATCATCCCATGGCTCCATTGCAACCCATAATGCAATGCAAGAGAATGGTGCCCTTGCCCAGGCTTGTACAGTCGAGGACAGCAGAGACCGGCCACAAGAAAAGCAACATCAGCTGTGTCGACAATAAAATGTGTTGTCCGGGCAAAAGAGGCAAGAATGCGAGGTGGCGGCAGGCACCTGGGGAGCTGGTGCTCATAATCCAGTCTGCAGGAAAGGCAGGCTGTCAAGAAACAATCCCAGGATTCCTGCTGAGACTGATATTCAGAGGCTACAAGCACCTTCCCTCCTTGTCACTTTTTTCGGTCTGACCTTGTGAACTTTTGTAGTTCCTGGGAATCTATTGCCCTGACTGACACCGCAACAGAGACATCGGGTCTCAAATTAAATTCCTTTCCCGCTCTCTCTCCACTCCCTGAAAGAAAGAAAAAAACCAATACCATCCACAAAAAAAGTTGAAAATAAACCTCTGGAATGTAGGACATCAAAGCTCATGGGGATGGAAAATGTTAAAGCCCATGAGCAAGGTTGCTAAGCTCCTAAATCTCTCCTTTCCCACCTGGCCCAGTGTCAATAACTGCTTGCTTCTGAGATGGGACTACTAGCTCCTAAACTTCCTTCCCTAGAGCATAAGGGCTAGAAACTTGCCTATTTAAAACCTGACAGGTTGGAATCTCTGGATTCCAAGGAGATGTGTGAAATCCTACCTTGGGGCTATGCAATGCTGAAATTACATAAAATATCCAGTAGAAGAGTTCCTGTACCTTCAAATCAAACATAGATCAAGACGGAGACTGCAGTCAAGAAATCAGAAGAAGACTAGGAATAGGGAGGGCAGCTATGAAAAATCTAGACAAGATCCAAAAGAGTAAAGATATACAACTGAGCACAAAAGTTAGAACGGTACAAGCCATTGTATTCCTTATTACCATGTACAGGTGCGAGAGCTGGACAGTGAAGAAAGCGAATAAGAAGAAAATCAATGCATTTGAGATGTGGTGCTGGAGAAGCTGAGGATACCATGGATGGCCAAAAGACAAACAAATGAACAGATTGAACCAGAAATCTCCTTGGAAGCCAAGATGATTAGGCTGAGACTCTCATATATTGGCAACATCATGAGATGGCACAACTCATTAGAAAAGACAATAATGCTAGGAAAGGTAGAGAGATGCAGAAAAAGAAGAAGACCTGGACTTTATTAAGGAGGTTATGGGTCTGAATTTGCAGGACCTAAGCAGATCAGTGGATGTCTCATCCACATGGTCACCATGAGTCAGGACTGATTCAAAGGTGGTTAACCACAAACAACAAT